ATTTTAGATTGCAAAAAGCTCGCGTCATTTTGTGTAAAATATCAAAAGGAATCGAATAGTGCGAGCTTTTTGCAATCTGAAATAATGCGTCGGAAAAAACTGCTTTTGAAATTTTTCAAAAAGCATCAAAGTAAATTGAACCTTAAAGCAACTGGAAACTAGCCTTTTCATGTATTGTCTGTTTACACTCAGGTCTTTTATTACACGGGGGATACGTACCGTGTAAAAAAAAAAACCGTGTAAAAAAACCAACGAGATTTTGATTTTTCGCATGCTTAAATGTTTTAAAAAAATCGGATTTTGATGTCATTTGTAATTAAAGCATGATATGGTCCATATAGACATATTTTTAAAATTTCTGTATTTACACCAAAAATTGTGATTTTTTTTTAAGTATGCCATTCGATTACCTATAGCTTGAAACGGATAATGTGATTGGAATCAAGTCGATAGGTTGTATCGTTGTCGAGAAATCGTTAAAAACGTACCGTGTAAATCGTGGAAAACCGTGTAAAAAAACCGTGTAAAAAAAAACCGCGTAAAAAAAACCGTGTAAAAAAAGACTTCAGTGTATTTTGATTATTGCTTTAAAATATCAATTTGGTATATATGTGAAAGGATGAATCAGTGGGAGATGGATTTTCGGTTTCTTTACATTTAGCATCACTATGCCGGTCAATAACCGACCTCTTCAATCCCTTCCTTGTCCCATGGCGTTCAAGTGGTCCGCATAGACTATTCAGCCATTACCCGTCCTTTATCCTCGGCTTTGGATTGACTTGCGCTCCCATTGCCCCACCAAACGCTGCAAAATGAAAATGAAAATGAAAATTTTTCAATCGCGTTAACTGAAATCAAATTAGGGGAAATGGATGTGATGTCGGCCTAAATGCCCCTAATTTGGGCCCATACATAAATTCAGCAATTGACTAAATTTTCAATAGCTATTAAAAATATCCATTAGTACCGAGTTCATCTAGATAAAACGATGGGCCCAATCTTAGATCCATAGGCCAAGATTAGAGCTATTTCCCCTATGATTTCAGTTTTATGTTAATATATCAAAATTTGATTTCAATTTGTTGTAATATTGATGCTAGACTTTGCTCGGGATTGGAACAATATTTTAAATCCAGAATCAGAAAAATTCCCATGACCAGATTTTTGAAAAAAATCCATCTTTAAGATCAAAAAATGTATACCATGTTTCAGAAGCATTTTTTTTTAGGACTGTGAACTTACATTATATATGTATAAAATATCAAAAATTATTGCAGGCCGCACACATTTTTTTTAATTTGTTTGTCTCAGAGTCTCGATTTTTCAAGCATGCAAGATTCTCTATATCCACGATCTTTCCATCTTGGAAAATTTTCCAATTAAGATTGAAATTTTTAAGTATTTTTCTTTCTTCTAACATCAGCAGTTCTTTCGAGTTTAATTGAGTTCGAGATTTATGGTACCAATAACAAAATATGCCATGGTATTCTGTATTCTTCTTTAAAAAGCTACCGAATATATTTGTCACAATGTAGATAGTTTAAGGTAAAGCATAAAATTATGAAAATCTTAAATGAAAGTAAGACGCAACTTGGAACCGCAACATTGTGAAACATTGTGTTTAATATTTTTTCGAACATATGTTGGAATTTAGGCCAAATGACCCAGCCTTATCATATTGTTTGTTTGTTTTAAAATATTGAGTTAGAAAATCGAGTGCAGAGGGAGGAAATGGAGGTTAGAATTGAACCGTACGCTTACTTATTCAATTAATACAGATCTTTCATGTGAAAAGGGATTACAAGCTATTTTGTAAACATATCTTTGTAGGCCATTTTCTCACCAACTGAGGGTCACCCACGCAAACCAACAACATCATCGGGAAAAGACACCCTACCCGGTGAAGTAATGGTTTACGTTGGTGTACTGTGGGTGGCGAGGAAAGGGAACAAGAAGGTTTGTTAACAAAAGGCTTGTATGCCCTTTTCACATGTTTTGTTCTTGATTTATGGGATCCTTAAACCATTTGATTTATTTTAAAGAAGCATGAAAAATACTGATGATGGGTTGTGTTTTTCAAATTTCTCGAAGTAGATGGCTTTAACTGTCACTATTGGTAACTTTATTATTATTTTTAAGTCACTATTTCATCACTATTATCATTATTTTACTCACTAAAGTTGCATACTCAATACCAGTAATAAGTAGAAACGCTTGAGTGACTGTTTTACCCAAAATAGTATATTTTTAACGTTTGAAAAACAATTTTTTTAGCCTTAAAATTTACCGTTGAAGTCCTATAGCAAACCAAAAACTCAGGAAATTTTATTTAGCATAATGAGTACCCGAGCAGAGAATTAAAACATTATTTAACAACCGTGTGGTCGAGTTAGCAGTAATCATAACAAAAATGTAACCCTGTGACTTTTAAAATCACGTAGGAGTGAAACATTTCGCTGAGGTATAGCTGGGAGTCATTGATGAAAAAGATTATGACGATACATTCCATGTTTACTGTTAAAGATGTCGACGAATGAAAACACTTGCGCGAGCGGATTTAGTACGGACGTAATGCAAATTCTGACTTCTTCACTGTTCACGGTGTGCTCAAAGTATTTTCGGAACGTTTGACGGACGAGAGGAAACCGAGAAGTGATAAAAACATTGGACGTGCTGATCCTGTCGTAGACCGAAAGGTGGAGAGGATATTGAAGGAAGACCCGAATCTCTCTGTTCGAACGGTGGCTCGTAAAATAGGAATGTCACCTGGTTTTTTCTAAAAATCAAAACAGCGTTTGGGGCTGAAATCGTTTAAAGTAAAAACAGGTCCAAATCGCAACGACAAACATAATAGAAAAATCACGGGTTCGACGCTTGTACTGCGAATATTTGACGAAGTTTTCATGCATTGTTATGGACGATGAAACGTATGTTCTGGAGGATTTCAAGCAGCTTCCAAGGCTGGCTTTCTATTCTGCTATGGCCAAAAATGCTACAGCTGAGTATTTCAGGACGAAGAAGGCATCCCAAAAAATACATTCTTTGGCAAGCAACTTGCACGAAAGAGTAAATCAATCACAATCAACAAGGAGATCTACTAGAAAGAGTGCCTGCAGAAGCGATTGCTACCTTTCATCAAAAGCCACAAAGAAGACCCTTTGTTCTGGCCCGATTTGACATCATGTCATTATGCTAAAACTGTGATGGAGTGGTACGAAGCAAATGAAGTGATTATTGTACCAAAAACCGCAAATCTGCAAAATTGTCCAGAGCTACGTTCAATCGAGAGATGTTCAAATATCAAACACTTCCAACAAATTTAGACAAAGACGGCTGCCACCACGGTATCTGAGGAGTCTGTACAAACCCTAATTAATGGAGTTGAGCGCAAAGTTCGAAAATTTTATGCAAATACCGAATAACTATGTTTTGACCTCGTGAATGTTTAAATCATATCCCATGAATCTGAAATAAACAGCTACGATTGAAATGTAATGCGACATTTATGTTTTACTTAAGTTTTGATGTGTCCGGATTATTGCAGATACAGACCTTACTAGAATTTACTAGATAGGTTTGCAAGATGTAATTTAAGCCAAGCCTCTCAATCTGGAGATCAAGGAAATAAATAAATAAATAAATCAGAAATTAATCACAATTTTTATTAAAATGCTCACTGAAAATTGTGATCCGCAAACAAATCGCTTCGATTTAAAAACACTTCTACTCAAATAAAGATAATTGTATGTACCTAAAGTGATTTGGATTTTTTGAGGATTTACCTATATAGATCACGAGTGATAATTGTAAGTGGCGGTAACATATCGCCAGCTAATGCTGTTTGTTTAGTACACACACACTTAGAAATACCTAATCTTACACGTGACGGAATCCATATTTGACATAAATGATGAGACGTAAACAAACATGTCATGTAAAATTAAGTGCTCCGAGACTGAAAAGTTCGAAAGTACGTTTTATTGAGCTGAATTTCGCGTCTATTATGACTCAATTTTATGTCAAAAGTAACGCACGTATATATCAGTCTCAGAGCACCTAAACCACAGACAAACAGACGTAACTCTTTGAAAAAGTTTTTCTTGAGAACATAGTATATCAAAACATAGGACCTCAGTAACGACATCTCTCGGGCTTCTCGCGGAAAACAAGCTTGCTCGCTAACTCGCAAACAATATTGCATAAAAGTTCTATAGAATGTATAGGAACGTCAAAGTGATCTGATGCTAGCGCTGCGGCGAGTAGTTCGCGGAACTGATAATATTCAAATCTACCGTTAAATGCGTGAACGAAGATACACAATGAAGAGCTACGTCTGTTTGTCTGTGCCTAAACTATCATCAAATTTTCTAAGTGTGTAATCTTGGACTCAACTAGGATTCATCCCCGAAAGCAGTGCCCTAAACCATCTTGCACGAAAGTAATTTACGTCCATCCACCGTTTGTAAACAACATTCTAAACAATATCCCACGCAATCACAACCTGGTATACCCGTATTCGGCCGAAGTTGTTCGCTTATCAGCTCGCGCCACTATGTCAGTGCGCCTCGGCGAGAAGAGCTATACGAGACCAGTAATGATAACGCAGCTCTTATCAGAGCCAGTCGCAGTTTTAATTGTTTTTGTAAACCTGTCCCGCTGCCCAACCGAGATATCAGCACTACCTTATTTGTTTCAACACCCAACATTCGTTAGTGCCGCGTGAATCAGACACGAACGAAGAAAAGAGATCGACTGCTCCCATCTACATATTCGGCTATCAAAAGTCAAGCTGATAAGCGATTAGGATAATTTGTGATTTAATCAAGTTTCGGTAAACGAGCGGAAGGAACACTTCATCCATTGAGCACGATGAGGCACAATCGACAGGTTCTCTGTGAAGTTTAGAATCCTACGTCATCCATTATTTTTGTTCTCGATTGTGACCTTTTCTGGCGCACTAAATACTAAACTAATTGTGTGTTTGCTTTCGTTTTTTTCAGGAGATGGACCTGATCGAGGTGCTCTGGAAGCAGGATGTAGACCTTGGATTCACCCTGACACCCCCGACAGTGGGCGCCGGAATGGGTGTCGGAACCAAAGGTGGCGCCGATAGTTCAGATGATCTGGAAAAACTCAAAGTGCTGCTGGAAATAAAAAATGATGATGATAAGGTGAGTGAGTGCGCCTCGTAATGGGCCATCTTGTTGTGAAATAGGTATGGGATTGTTTGAAGAGACGATCGTATTAACTGGATTTGTTTGTTTTCCTTTCATTTTCGGCACGACGTGGATTGATTGGTAGAAAAAGGATGACGAGAAGCAACCGGAAGAGAATCCCTGGGCTGGACTGTCCTATACGGTCGATATCGAAACAGGTAGGTGGATTTGTCCTGTACTAGATCTACTTGTTCCACGGGAGTTTGATGCTTCAGAAATCGATTGGGAAAATCGCTAAACTCTAGGAAGCGAATGCCGCAACTTTTGCCATCGTTAATATCCTATTGTTATCGGATATTATTTCTCTCATCAAGTAATCAAAAAGCTTTCTATAGACACCGTCGTCCCTGCCGCGCTGTATACCGCTGCTACGGCACAACATGAACGGAAAACTTTCCCATATATCCTTCGAGTGAGCGATCCAATCAAAACTTCACCGCGTGATACCGATGCCAATTCTTATTGCGCACCATCTATCTTTTAGGAGAATGTAGCCGGGCACCCAGGCCGGCAAGAGGGCTCTTTCTCTTGGCTCTTGCCGCCGACTGCTGGCTGCTCCTCGGGACGGTGATGAATTATGGGGGTAAAAGTTTCTTCACATTTGAAAAATAATCAAATCATGACAAGGTTATTTCACATTTTATAAATGCTTTTGCTCGTACACACATAGCAAGCAGCCAGATTTATATACAAACCGTGGAGTTAAAGCATGTGATATCTTGCCGTCTAAGACATGCAATTAAGGAAGGATAGCTGGCTGACTGCTGGCACCTATCGCGGCAACTCATAGCAGGAAGGGTAGGGGAAGAACAACGCGCCCATTCCGCGGTCAATTCCAGCCTGTGGCGGCGAGTGTGGATCGTTTAAATATGCTATAATTCGAGGGATTGATGGTGATATGTGCGACCACCAGCTAGCCTACCAATGCCGTGGGCTGCCAGTATGTGCCACACCACCCAGGGAGGGATCCCCGATGAGTGCAGTCTGGGCTCAGGAAAAGTGGTGCGAGAAGCTGTTTTGATAGGAATCTTGAGCCAATGACTCGCAGCCGAGTGGAGGGTTTTACTGCTTGATTGCCAATATTGGTTGTAGTTTTGAAGCGGTGGATTTACATTTGAACGTTAGTTACCTACTTGCTTTGCGATGTGTATTAGTTGCTTTACGATGTGTATTAGAACTCAGAGAGTAGTGCTTTTACAATAACTGAATAGATTCTTAGATCTGATTCATAATTTCGTAGCAATAAAAAAATCTTATCGAAAGAACACCAGTCGCTGACGAGTTCCGGAGGACTTTGTAGACGGGTTAAGATGATTTCTAAGATGAAAGTAGTTAAATTCTATAGACTTGAACCGAAACCTTCTGTGGTTGCCCAATAGACTCGCACTACAATTTATAGATTTTAAACTACAATCGTAAAAGCGTTAGCGTATCTGACCTTCTGACATCTGACAAATTTCTGAATAATTCGAAACTACAGTTACTCAGACAAGGTCAGAGATAGCTTGTTTTCTGAGCTTTATCTCGAATTTCTTTGCAATCATCTTCTGGGTTTATGATCCTTGCTCCTTTACCGTAAAATGTACTGCAATTTTTCTAATGTTACTAAATTGAGCTTTCTGAATTAACATTTTAAGTCTCTAGATTCCAACTAAAGTTTTTTACTTGTAATTTCTGATTTCAGGATGCATTGGACATTCCCATTGTGTACCCAGAACTTATTTATATGGTTCTCTAAACTTTACCGTTTAGACTAGCTCATTGAACTACAAACCAATTCCACCAAGGTGGTTATTCTCCAAACAAGTCTGCTCGGTCTCTCTTCGCCGGCCCTTAACTTAGTGTTCTTTGAGCACTTCCACATTTGGTAATTGAGAGCTTCCCAGGTTGTACCATTTTTGCATTAGTATTATTGTGTAGCAAGTACAATCGTACTATATGCCCAGGGAAGTCGCCAAATGTTCCAACCCGGAGATTTCTACACCGGAGTGGGATTCTTGCTTTACCGACTGAGCTAAGCTAGGTATAGAAATTGTAAAAAAAATACACATTTGCTCAATTACTAAAGCTGAACAGAGACATCTGTGTCACTTGAAACTCAAATATGTAAACCATCAACATGTAAAGATCATTTAAGTAAGTAAGTAAATAAAGTTGATGGAGTAGCTCCTCTGGATCTTCATTAATAAGGCTTTCAACTCTGTAATGACCGTAAAAGAGACGTTAGACTTTCTACCGGCATGACGTGGCAAAAGAGACCAATAGGACGTCGCACAGTATGTTTTTAAACAAAAAAAATCATTTCGATCGGTTTTGGTATGTGGTCGCCCCTTTATCCAATACCATTGACGCCAGGGAGGCAGCTCCCACACCTGGACCCTACCTATCGACCCATCAACTCAAGAACCGGGGACCAACTTCCTTAGATAGGAAGGCGTGATCAGAGATGTTATGCCTCAGAACATCCCAGCGGCGCCGACTGGGATTGAACCCAGGCCTGCTGGGGTGAGAAGTAATCACGCTTACCACTACACCACCGGCGCCGCTAGGGGGTCGCCCCCGGACTTATTTGATTTATTTTGATCAGTCGTCGTGAGCCTTTGGGTCTGTCAATGCGAAATCCTGCCCGATTGCTCGCAGATTTCGTTTCCACGTGTTTGACTCACCTTTACTTAAGTTCTCAAATTTCTGATGATATCAGCTTTTGATATCCTGTCGTGAGGCCACTAGACAATGGTAAAATTGATCCAGCATATCCAGCGACTGAATAAAAAATGCTTACCTCCAAATACTATAACCAAGATAGCAGTCAAATTATGGTGGATACGAAAACCTTAGGCCAACCACCCACAGCCTTTGAAATTCACAAATCATTCCAGAAACCCACAGAGAAAGACTAATTTAATGAAACTTTTATAGCAATAGCATGCAACATGGTAAATTTATAGTATTTCAATGTCCTGAATTTGGGATATTTGAGCTTTATGAATACGAAAGATATCATTCTTCTGTGCTCTTCTTCATCTCCCATCGCAAGTTATCATGGTAAGCCAAGACTACAAAGGATACTTAAGCTGCCTGCTGTATTCCGTTTGCTCCCTATGCTACACAGAGTGTGATTTCGACCATCGCTCTTTGTGTGAATTGATTCCTCCCAGAGAAGTTGGAAAGGACTGTGCAAAGCAATTGAATGAGAAAAGCGCATTATCTTTTTGTGTGTTTTGTGCGACACATGCAAAATGTTGCTCGTCAAACGCTCTCAGGATGTAAGTTCCTATGTTGGTGAAATTTAGTGACGCATCATTTCTATTGTTTAAATAATACTAATATTTGAATCCTAATTTTCGACAAAACCTGGTCATCCAAAAGTTAAGCTGTCGAATCTACGTTTGTCAATAAATTGACCCCAAAACAAGATTTGACACGACTGTTTTCAGTGCTTTTAGATCTTGTTCCGGAGCCATTGGGTGACCATTGTCAGTCTGGTTAGTTGGCACAATCTCTGATGAAATGTTCACACAATTCTGAAATGTTTAAATACGTCGCATGTTTTCTGTTATTTTCAAAGAAGGACTACTTCCTCCGAGGTTTCTAGAACCCGTTCCATTGCCGTCAGAGTTTAATTGACCAATGAATAGTTCATAAGTTTCAAAAACGCTTTGATTTGTCACACGATTGGTTTCTGTCGCAGATATTGGTCACTTCCTCCGAGGATTCCGGAACCTGTGCTGGGACCATCGGGTGAACATTGTCACTCTGGCTAATATGGTCTTTTATTAATTGTCCACAACATTCTGAAAATGTTCTGTTGCAATTAGATATTGGCTTTTATATTCCGTGGCTTTCGGAACCTGTTTCACAATGCGTCAATTCCGACATTTGTATATGCCACACCTCTTTCAGTTTGTATCTTCACACCAACTTTGTTTGACTCTATCTCATAGCATGAGCTTCGTAGCAAATTTGGGAATACGTGTATCTCATCACTCTTTAATTGTTGGCAGAATCGTCCCGTGCATTGGAAGGGTCAATAAATAAGATTCATGGTAACGTCGAATGCATGAAATTTTCCTAGAAATTCCTTATGGTTTTGGCTGCATAATGCTCTAGTTATTTTATCAAAACGGCATAATGCTTTAGTTATTTTATCAAACGACGACTAGTTATTTTATCATTGACGAATTCCGATTCAGTGACTCTAAATTAAGTTTTTTTTAAGTTGATATGCCTTCCAACATCACTTAAATTTAAAAGGTAATGTTGCCATTAGCAGGGTACCCACTGAACCGGGAAAAAGCTGGAATTAACCGGGAAATATCCGGCAATCAAATTGGAACCATTACATATTTTTGATACCGTAAAATAGGGTAAATTTGATAGTTTTTGAAGCATATTTTAAATATTTTCTTACATAAATTAATGTTTTTCAAATATTTTCCCAGATCCCAGAGTCTATTCGTTAGTAATATGCTTATCAGCAATGTCCCAGTATTTCCAAAATTTGTTCAAGATCGTGATAATTTTCCGAAATGATTCCAATCCTAACCCCAAGACACAAGATTTTTTTAGTTAAATTTGCAATCTCAAAAGTTATTCAATACCTGATGTCTGGCTTTTTGAGTAGGATACTTAATTTTAGAACCTTGACCAATTTTCATGTCACAGAATCTACACAATTTATCCATGTCTGATACATTGAATTTACGTCCGGCGTTTCGAAGATTTTTACAAATTTGAGTAATACTTTTCAGAAATTTCTATTCCCATTATCTTGAAAAACTTTGTTAGACTTAAACTATTTGTTTGGAGCTTATCTCTGAATATAATTAGAAAATAATAATAATCTTATGATTCTCTTCGGTATTCCCTAGAAATTTTCTCCATAACAGTCACAGAATTCTGGGCAGAACACTTAAACAGTTCCCTCCAGCAAACTCTTGTGATTCACGCCACAATTATCTTCGTGTAAATTTATTAGTCCCGTGGAATATTCTTCAGAAATCTATTGACATGCCCTTCAAAATAAAAAAAAAAGTATTCTTCGCAAAAAAAACCTCTACATTCAGTGGGAACTTTTTGTCAGAATTCCCAGAAAAATTTTCTCAAAATTCCCTCGGGAGAATCTTTTGGAATTTTCTCGGAGTTATCTTGAAACTCT